GTCAATTATTTGTATTTCCTAATAATAAATGCTACTTTCCACACCTGTAAAAATGATAAACATATACTATCAAAGGATAACATGAAACTGAGAAATGAATACAAGCTTATGTAGAAATACACTAGCAATTGCTGAACACACTTTTACATATTATCCTATATCAACTCAATTGAAAAGAATGTAATATCAACCTAACCACCCATCATCATTAAATAAAAAAAAAAAAATTACTTTTAGGAATGCTGAGGACTGAACCAAGGCCTTAAGCAGATTGAGGAGATACCTATGCTTTTGACAATCTGGCACTCAGGCCTTTTAATTTTGTCTTGCTACTCATAGTTGACTTTTCCAGTTAGGCCTTAATGTTTTTTAATGCCTTAACTAATAAGTAATTCTTTTTCATAAAACCGCATGTAGAAAATACCCAGGCATTTTAATCTATTTTTTATATTTCTTTAATTTGTATACCACTGACTTCAGTGTAATATTTTATAGTCTACAGTGTCCCCGTGCACTTTATTTTCTTTTTGCTTAAACTCTGTGCAGTCCTCTGTGGAAAAATCCCATCCTGAGTTTACAGTTAATAAACTGCACAGATGTAGCCCATGGCAGTTCAGTGTCCAAGTGGGTAACATAGTAATGGGAAGAAGGACTGCCTCTGACATAATCTGATTGGCCTGCTCATTGATCACTTCCCCTTGAGGGGGGAGCAGCCTTACCAGGCCACAGTAGAGGACAATGCAGCCACTTTTGATGAGAACTGATAGACTAAGATCAGAAAGAAGAGGAGAACCTCCCCTATCAGTGGACTTGGGGAGTGGCATGCATGCAGAAAGGGGAGGGAGGGTGGGATCAGGAGGGGAGGAGGGAGGGGCTTATGGGAGGATACAAAATGAATAAAGTGTAATTAATAAAAAAAAATGTATATGCAAAAAAAAATAAAAAAATAAACTGATGCTTAATGTTTAAATACCTCACAACATTAAGTTTGATTAAAGCCACCTCGTCAAACAATGGATGAAACATCAAGAAAACTAAAGGTGAATAAGAAACAGCAGGCTCTTTCCTGTCTTTGATAAACAATTTAATGGTAGAGGAAGGCATTCAAGAAAGTGCAAAGGAATATCCCTGAAGGATCCTCTCAGACTGTCCTAAACAAGGTGGTAGTGATAATTCACAGTTCATATTAGTGACATATGCACATTAAATTATGACTGTTAAAATAATGAATTATACCATTTTAAGGAGTGTGAAGATTATTTCAAGTTTCTAATTTTAAAGAATTCAAAAACAAGTAAGTTAAATAACTTCTTAGGTACTAATATTTTATATCTTATTATTCCTGCTCATTCAATACTTCAAGTATATCAGTGCCCCTCACCTGTATTCAGTAAAAGTATTTTTAAACCCTATATTCACTTAACCAAAGATTAGTCATTTTATATCATTGTCTGAGAGCAATATATGCCCTGAGGACTTATAATTAAATAAGATCAGAATAAAGGGGCCTGTGTTTGATGATTATGAGATCTTGGTAAAATCATTATCACTGATTTTAGTGAACTAAAGCAATGAAGAGGACAGTTTGTGAGTTTATTGTTATTAACACATTCTGGTACTGTAGAAAGACGTTTACATTTTTGACATGGCTCACTCATAGCATCAAAGATGAAGAGAAGGCAAAACTACCTTATACGATTTCTTGATAGGGAAGTGATTCACCTTAAGTGTTTTCCCCCAGTTTGCAAAGCACATTTCTTATATATTTATTTATTTTTATTTTTTAATTATAATTTTTATAATAATTTAGTTTATTCACTTTGTATCCCAGCTATAGCCCCAGCCCTCATTCCCTCCCAATCCCACTCTCCATCCCTCACCTCCTCTCATGCCCCTCTCCAAGTCCACAGACATGGGAGGTCCTCCTAACCTTCCATCTGACCCTAGCCTATCAGGTCTCATCAGGACTGGCTGAATTATCTTCCTATGTGGCCTGGCAAGGCTACTCCCCCCTCAAGGGGAGGTGATCAAAGAGCCAGCCACTGAGTTCATGACAGTCCCTGTTCCTCTCACTAGGGAACCCACTTGGACACTGATCTGCCTTGGGCTACATCTGAGCAGGGGTTTTAGGTTATCTCTATGCATGGACCTTCATTGGAGTATCTGTCTCAGAGAAGACCCCTGTGCCCAGATTTTTTGCTCTCCTTGTAGAGCTCCTGTCGACTCCAGGTCCCTCAGTCTCCCCCTTCTTTCATATGATTCCCTGCACTCTGCCCAAAGTTTGGTTATGAATTTCAGCATCTGCTTTGATACACTGCTGGGTAGATTCTTTCAGAGGCCCTCTGTAGTAGGCTCCTGTCCTGTTTCCTGTTTTCTCCCATTCCCTTTGCCCTTCTGAAAAGGACTGATCATCTTACCCAGGGTCCTCCTTTTTGTTTAGCTTCTTTAGGTGAACAGATTTTAGTATGTTTATCCAATATTATATGTCTAATATCCACTTATAAGTGAGTATAGACCATGTGTGTCTTTTGCTTCTTGGATACCTCATTCAGGATGATCTCTCCTAGTTCCTACCATTTGCCTGCAAATTTCATTATTTCCTTGTTTTTTATTGCTGAGTAGTATTCCATTGTGTAAATGGACCACAATTTCTGTACCCATTCCTCACTTGAGGAACATCTGAGTTGTTTCTAGGTTCTTGCTATTACGAACAAAGCTGCTACAAACATGGCTGAGTAAATGTCCTTGTTGTGTATTTGAGCATATTTTGGATATATGCTTAGGAGTGGTAGGTAAATAGATTGAATAGCCCTATATGCCCCATGGAAATAGTAGGAGTCATCAAAAGTCTTAAAAAGCCCAGGGCCAGATGGTTTCAACACAGAATTTTACCAGACGTTCAAAGAAGAGCTAACTCCAATTCTCCTCAAATTATTCTACAAAATAGAAACAGAAGGAACATTACTAAACTCATTCTATGAAGCCACAGTCTCCTTGATACCTAATCCACACAAAGATCCAACCGAAAAAGAGAACTTCAGACCTATCTCTCTTATGAACATTGATGCAAAAATACTCAATAAAATATTGGCAAACAGAATCCAAGAACACATAAAAAATATTATCCACTGTGACCAAGTAGGCTTCATCCCAGGCATGCAGGGGTGGTTCGGTATCGAAATCCATCAATGTAACCCATCATATAAACAAACTGAAGGAGAAAAACCACATGATCATTTCCTTAGATGTCGAAAAAGCATTTGACAAAATCCAACACCCATTCATGTTTAAAGGCTTGGAGATATCAGGGATACAAGGCACATACCTAAACATAGTAAAGACAATATACAGCAAGCCAACAGCCAACATCAAAGTAATTGGAGAGAAACTTAAATCAATCCCACCTTTATACAAATATCCTGAATCACTGAATTAAGTAGTGATTGTTCAAGTTGTGACTAGGTTAAAAGCCATTGCATTTTAAATATAACTCGTGTAAAAAGAGAGCTTTGTGCTATGCGTAACTTAACACACACAAACACCAACATAAATGTGGTTGTAGGCCATGAGCATACGATAGGGCTGTTCACACAATGTTACTTCCCTATTCCATGGCCACTGGTGCCAAGCGGAGTACAAACTTCCTATCAGTTTGCAAAACTTGCTTCCTCATAAATTCTCCTGTTGCACTCCTTACCTAATTCCTAGGTCAAATAAATGTAACTTTTAAAATCTCTTCTTAAATAGGGTTTGACTGGTCTAAGGTAATCAGTTGGCTTCTGTTGGAATGTGCTTCTGGCAGAAAATTAGAAACTTCAGAAATTAAGAAGTTATCTCTGCATGGCTCTACTTCCTAGCTTCCTGCTCAATTTCTGTCACAAGACTGGGCTGTGTCAGCTTACCTCTGTGTTAGTCCAGTTTATTGACTGCTGTATAGTGCTACTCGCTCATGTCATCTACACATTTTCACTTTCAGGTTGATCTCCACCTCCTGACAACATATAAATACAAATATAAAGGAGCGTGGTAATGGTACAGTTCCAGTTATCACTGCTACAGAAGTTAGCATCTGGAACTAAGAAAACAGATAATTATTATAATTGAGCCATCATTGTCACAGATGAAAAAAAGTGTTAAATGCATAGGTGTGTGTGCCTATGGTTATGCATGTAAACTTGTGTACAGATGAACTTGGAGGCCAGAACAGATCATCAAATTTCCTGGAGCTGGAAACGCCAGTGACTCTGAGCTACCTGATATGGGCAGAGGGATGGAAGCCAGGTCTCTTACAAGAGCAGTATGCTTTTTTTTTTTTTATAGTTTTTTTTAAATTTAATTTTATTTTATTAATTACACTTTATTCACTTTGTATCCCCCGATAAGTCCCTCCCTCCTCTCCTCCTGGTCCCACCCTCCCCCCTTCTTCACGCATGCCCCTCCCCAAGTCCACTGATAGGGGAGGTCCTCCTCTCCTTCCTTCTGATCTTAGTCTATCAGACCAAATCAGGAGTGGCTGCATTGTCATCTTCTGTGGCCTGGTAAGGCTGCTTCCCCCTCAGGGGAAGCTGATCAAAGAGCAGGCCAATCAGATTATGTCAGAGGCAGTCCCTCTTCCCATTACTATGTAACCCACTTGGACACTAAACTGCTATGGGCTACATCTGTGCAGGGGTTCTAGGTTATGTCCATGCCTGGTACTTGGTTGGAGTATAAGTCTCTTGGAAGACCCCTGTGTTCAAATTTTCTGGTTCTATTGCTCTCCTTGTGGGGTTCCTGTCCTCTCCAGATCTTACTATTTCCCACTTCTTACATAAGATTCCATGTACTCTGGTATGCTTTTACTCTAAAGTCTTCCCTACAGTCTGTCAATTTGCTTTTCTTCCTATCTATAGACATCAGCAAATTGTATTCCAATTTTATATTTACCTATACATAAAATAAACCATTGACTTGTATTGTAGCTTCTTCATATTTTTCCTTACTAGTATATTTTCAAACACTTAAATTCCACAAATGGGTTAAGTTTATTCTGTGTATATAAGTCAATACAACTTTTTCCTTTGTCATAACATTTGTAACCCTGAATATTTCAAACTTTGTTGTCATATTTACTTTTCACTGGCAGCAGAGAGTGAAGCATGGACCTAAGGAAAATTAAATAGATTCAGTTCCATGTTTAATGAAGCCTGTAACCAAAGTTGTTTAACCTGTAAGCTAAGGGATCAGATATATCTTGGCAAAAAGACAGACATTGTTGACGAAAACTATGATTCAGTTGTTCTTGCAGAGCTGTTTTAGCCTATAAAAAGATGCTGTCATCCACTAACAAGAAGGAAGAACACCAAACTGGAACCTCCTGCCATTCCTCCTATCCTTCTGCTCATCACTAACCATGGGAAGCAAAATGATCTATCTAATTTGGAAGATTGGAACATATTGCACTTAATTAGTTTGGCCTTTTCCTTGCCTCTTTGCAGAGCGGTATAGTCTTAAGAATGTGTTCATTGTTTCCTCTCCAGTGAAATAATTTTACTGCAATAGATTTATTGATTGTGGAAGAAAGAGCATATTATTTTGAGCAGAAGCCTACTTTCAGCAAAATATTATTTGGAAACTGATTTCATCATTAGTAAAACAGATATTTTTTGCTTCTGTTTTCATTTAAATGGGGCGTGGAATTATATTTGGCTAAAGATTCAATAGAAAGGAGGTGAGTGTTACTAGCCATACATTTTAATAGTAGTGACTATGTTCGTTGTAAATTTACTATTTAGATATAGATACAATCGAACAGTAGATAAAGTTTCCTAAACGTACTAATTAGTTTTGAGAATTCAGTGTGTGTGTGTGTGTGTGTGTGTGCGCGCGTATGTGTGTGTGTGTGCTGCGTGTATACCTGAGACCAAACATTTTGAAGAGAGCATGTTATCCCATGGTGCTGGAAATTATACTCCGGTCTTCTAGGAGAAAAAAGACACCTTTTACCTGGGCACTACCACTCCAGTACCATAGGACTATGTTCTAGCTTTGGTTTGACCAGTAACGAATTCTACATAAAGGATATAAAAAACTTTCTGCTTTACTCCCTCATTTCTCGCCATCTTTCCTTTCTCCCATTCCTTACTCCCTCACTTTTTTTATTCCTTTTTATCTTACTGGGGGTGGGTTATAGTTTGGGATCATGAGTGTTTTGTTAATTTCTGAATCATGTTTAATAACAAAGTTGAGATAATGACTAAGGCTCCATTCTTTTCTAATAGAAAAGAGATCTTAAAACACTTCTGAGCTTTTGGTGACGTTTGATACTTCTAATGTCCATAATAACGTAGCTTACATTCTTTCAAAGGTAAGCACGATTCCTATCATGTCATTGTTTAAGTCAAGAGTGGGGAAAACATCTATCTGCCATCAGTTTCCATCCCTAACCGTGCAGTGCTGAGTCAGAGATCCTTCCAGTCCACAACCTCTTGCATTGACTTAATGCTAGTAAAACTCCCTTTTGCCAAAGGCTTGCATAACTCTCTTAAAAGATTTTTTTTGTTAGAAACTGCTTTTTCATCATCCAGAATGATTAAAGGTGAATTTCTTTCCAAATTCCTTAAATACAAACTCACCAGTTGCAAGTATATGACACTTTATTAAAAGAATTCATAGCTGAGTCTCATTAAGGAATGCAAATTTGTTCTATTAATTAGATTTTGGCTTGACTTGAAATATAATATCCTTGATGTCATAATATAGTGTTTGGCCTTCTTTTCAAGTCCCCTTTTAATACTAAAGGCTACTAGAGCTAAATTGAGGACAAGTTATATGGGGTGTTGCCTCTGTGTTAATGAAGCACTAATTGACAAGCTAGCTCAGAGATCAAGGAACAGAAATACATTCACAGTACATGAAAATGTCCAAACCCACACCTTTTAAAATTAAATAATATGCTGAGAAAGCAGCAAAGAGGTAATATAATAGTCTTGAGAGGCATAATGTTTAGGAAATAACCTCCAATCTTAGAGTTTACACACTGACAAATGCAGCTTCCTTTTATGACTTATTAGCCTTCATATATAATGGTTTACTATGGTGGCCACAGTAAAGTGCTGAAGAGGAAGAGTCATAGAATCATAGAAGACGTCCGTAGTCCAGCACACATACACACTGTGTCAAAGATATGCATGGCACTGTACTGTGCTTAGTTGCTAATTCAACTGTCCTGCAGCCTTTGGCATTATTTGCATTTCTTGAGTTGAGCATAAAATTTATGAGCAGTGGATGTCAGTCAAGCAGTGGCGTCATTTCTACTCCTCCTCTTCTTTCTCCATCTCTTCCATCTCTCTGTGATTCCTGACCTCTTCCAGGAGGAGTTTTACAGCTCTTTTGGACATTAAGGCCTTCCCTAAAAAGGATGAGAAGCAGAGCAGTCAGGAGGACAGCATATTGAGCAGGGAAGACCAATCAACTAGGCTGGACCAGGCCCCAGTTAGACCAGGTGACTACGGGAGCTGGCAAGGCCACCAGGTGGGCAGATATGAGGATCCAGTAGTGAATGTCTAGATAGAGAAGGACCTCTCCAAAAGAGCCCTTCAAGTATTACAGTTCAATGAAGTAGCAATTCTCAGATGATTTTCAGTGAATGACCTTGTGCCAGCTTATTGAAGGTCAACGGGGACTATATAAACCTTGGGGAGGTGAAGGGATTTTCAGGGTGAATGTATTCCACCGGTTGTGGCTGACACGCTGGGGATGCTCTCTTGGCATCCAGGTTCTGGCGACATGACTACATGTAACTCCCTTGAGGGTTGTGGGTAGCCAGCCATGCGGGCACAGAAGCTGGGAGGGAAAGTCCTATTCTTATCAGTCCTACTCCTGCAGATCTCAGGATAAGATTTTCAGTCTCAGGTTTGAGATTTTTCAGGGACTGGACATCTTGACCTCCCTAAAGCTCCATTCCTGTTGTCCCTGTTCAGCGAGCCTATGTGCCTCACAGAGAATAACTTCTTGGTCTCTGTTTCCATACAGGTATCTTTATAACAGTGGAAGAAAGGAAGAAGAGTAAGCTGGGGAGTGTAAGAATTTATTATAAGCCAAAGAGATGTTTCTGAATGTTAGAAACAGTTAAATATTGGTCACTTTTAAAAGACAAATTAATAAGTAATAGATATTTCATAATATATCAACACACAAATTATTTTAAAGACAATGAGATTAAGTAATTTTGTATACAAAGTCACTGTAGAAACATGAAAGAAATGGAAAAAATATTCTAAGCATTTATATATTTATTTATATTTAAAATATAAATAATTTAAATATTTTAAGCAAATGTATTTATATATTTATTAATATATTAATATCGATGTATAATTAACACATTTAAAACATAATGAAATATATTAATATATTTATTTTATATTTATTTATATATCTATATATATTACCAAAGGCAACAGATTCAATGCAATCCCTATCAAAATCTCCAACACAGTTCTTTACAGACATTGAAAGAACAATTCTAAATTTCATATAGAAAAACAAAAACCCAGATTAGCTAAAACAATCCTACACAATAAAAGAACTTCTGGAGGTATCTCCATCTCTGACATCAAGCTACAGAGCAATAATTAGAAAATCTGCATGGTATTAGCATAAAAACAGTCAGCATGATCAATGGAATCAAATCAAAGACCCATAAATAAACCCATCTAACTATTGTCACTTGATTTTTGACAAAGGAGCCAAAGCCATAAAATGGAAAAATGACAGCACCTTCAACAAATGGTGCTTGTCTCATTGGATGTCTATGTGTAGAAAAATGCAAATAGATGCATATTTATCTCCCTGCCCAAAACTCAAATCCAAGTGGATCAAAGACCTCAATATATATAACCTCAATATAACATCAGGTACACAGTAGAAGAGAAAACAGGAAAGTGCCTCAAACTAATTGGCACAGGAGACAACTTCCTCCACAGACCATCAACAGCTCAAGCTCTAAGATCAACAATTAATAAATGGGACCTCTTGAAACTGAAAAGCTTCCATAAGGCAAAGGGCACTGTCAATAGAACGAAAAGACAATCTACAGATTGGGAAAAAAAATTTCACCAATCCTACAACTGACAAAGAATTAATATCCAAATTATAAAGAACTCAAGAAATCAAATACCAATACACAAAATAACCCAATTAAAAATGGGGCACAGAAGTGAACAGAGAATTCCCAACAGAGGAATCTTGAATAGCTCAGAAGCAAGTAAAGAAATGCTAAACTTCCTTAGTAATCAGGGAAATGCAATTCAAAACAGCTCTGAGATTCCATCCCCCACCAGTCAGAATGGCTGATATCAAAGTCTCAAGTGGTAGCACATGCTGGCGAGGGTGTGGAGAAAGGGGATCACTCTTCCAATGCTGCTGGAAGTGTACATGTGAACAACCATTTTAGAAATCAATCTGGTGCTTTCTTAGAAAATTGGAATAACTTTACTTCAAGACCCTGCTATACCCTCTCCTGGGCATATACCCAAGAGAAGCTCCACCATACAGCAAGGACACTTACTCTACTATGTTCATAACAGCTTTATTTGTAATAGCCAGAATCTGGAAACAACCTAAATGTGCCTCAACAGAAGAATGGATAAAGAGACTGTGACACATTTACACAATGGAATACTACTCAGCTATTAAAAACAAAGCAAAACAAAATTATGAAATTTGTAGGCAAATAGATGGAACTAGAAAAGTCATACTGAGGGTGCTAACCCAGACCCCCAAAAGATGCATATGGTATATACTCACCTATAAGTGGATTTTAGCCATAAAGTACAGGATAAGCATACTACCAGGCACAGACCCAAAGAAGATAAGTAATAAGAAGGGCCCAAGTGAGACTGCTTAAATCTCACTCAGAAGGGGAGATAGAATAGACAGAGGTAATAGCTGAAGAGAAGGAACAAGGTAGGAGAGGGGGCACAGAGAGTTAAGAGTGTGGAAATCAGACCTGAGTGGAGCAGGGGAAAGAGGACAGAAGGCCTGCAGAGAAAGGAGAAACTGAGGGTGGGGACATCTTTGTGACAAACTTGAGACCTAAGTCAGAGTAGGTTTCTGGGAGGGTAAGAGGGGCACTCAAGGAGAGACTCCTAGTAGCAGAGCTCATAGAGGTTGAAGAGGACATCCTCTAACTAGACTTGTCTTCTAGTTGAGGGAGGGTAACACCAACACACCCACAAAAACTTTGACCCCAAAATATACCTTGCCTACAAGATGTGCAGGGATAGAGATATAGCATAGAACAGAGGTTGAAGGAATGCCACACAGATGCCTGGCCCAACCAAAGACCCACCCTATGGGAGAGTGCCAGACTCTGTCTGCTAAGCTTGCAGAAAGGAGCCTGTCAGAACTGTCCTCTGAGAGGCTCTACCCAGAAGAACCTAAAAAAAAAAAAAAAATGCTGAACCTCACAGCCAAAAAATGTAGATGTGTAAGGAGCCTTAGGGAATAGTGGGAGGAAAGAGAAAAGGACCTGGAAGTGACAGGAGCTCCACAAGAAAAACAAAAAACAGGACCAACTAACCAGGGCCTAGAGCGGTTATGCAAGGGAAAAGAGCTTTATTCAGGCCTAAGTTCAGTCTATCCACTGTCAGCATTGCAGTGAGTCAGAGAGGATAGCCCCAAGCAGCCACATAGCAGGGTTTTTATTGGGGATTGAGAAAAGACTGGGAATTTCTGGTTTAACAGTTACAAAGCGCTCTCTCCCCCTGAGCTCAGCGCTCTACACTGTGTAGGTGATGGTGTGTGGGCAGGAGCTTGTCATAAAAGGCTCTAGTGCGTTTAGGTCAGAATCCACTCCTTGGTGGTCTTTGGGGTCTGTGAGAGTAGGGCATAATAAAGCACTGTAGAGATGTTGTCTCAGACAAAACTAAGTAACAAGAACCAAGATCTGGATCTCTGATGACCAATGCTGTATCTGGAGTGAAGTTAATGACATAAACACATAAACGGTGAGAAGAAACAAGGAGAGAGAAAATTTGGAAAGAGAACAGGCAGATTAGGTGAATAGTTTAACACACGGGGTGCAAGAGAATGAAGTTACAAATGTAGGGATCTGTCTTATAAAGGTGAATATGAAGATAAAATGGTTGACCTAGAACGCAGAAAGAGGCTGAGTCAATATTCTTCAGTGCAGTGTACAATTCCACACTTAGAGAACATCTCTAAGTGCAACATAGGCCTCTCTTGTTTACTCTATACTTTGTATTAAAACTCAAGCTCTGTTTTTGAAGGGAAGATTTGGAACCATGAATAAAAAGGCAGATTATGTATTCTGGACACACAGTAGTTCCCAAGAAGAATCAAGGGGGAAAATGGATATTAAAAAAAAAAATCCTAAAGTAAAGCAATTCTTAATTTAATAAGTAAAGGGCACTTACAAAATCCACTAAAATCTCAATATATAATGCGCCATATAAAGCTTTCTAAATCAATCCCCTTCTCTAATGAAGAATTAGTGAGAGTACCCTCCCTGCTAGGCACTCCCTTAAGCACTTTGAATAGCATAAAAAAGAAAAGGAAGATCCCTTATGGAGCTTTTGTTCTTGCAGGAAGACAAGGATACATAAATGACAAAACAAGCTTATGTAGGAGGTCCCACAGGAGCAGTGCTCAGATGTTTTTTGACAGACTGAAAAATTTGTAAGACCAGGGAGAAAGCATGAAATGGTTAAATTGTTAATAGATATTTTAGGAAAAAGACCATAGTTCTGGTATGGTCTAGCAGTAACCAGAGGTGACTCCAACAATTTCTTTTTTTTTTTTAATAAATTTATTCATTTTACATCCTGATCATAGCCTCCTTGTTAGTATTTTGGCAGTCTGCTTCTGGGTTGCCTTGCAAACAATGATGTCATCATGTGTCGCTGGCCAGGTAGCTGGCTCCATAAAAGGACCAACCTGCCACTTTGTCTCTCTCTTGGCTCTTGGATCCTGCCCTCTCCCTTTCTCTGTCGGGGTGCCCCCTTCTCTTCTCCCTATCATGTCTAGCTCTCTCTCTCCCTCTTCATCTCCATCTAATAAACCTCTTTCATATAATATCTGATGTGCGCATCATTTAAATAAAAATAACCCTTTGGTCTTTGTCTGAATGTGAACTGTTACTGTGTCTCCTGGGGGATACGCACTGTATATATGTATGCCTTGAAATTGTGGGAGTCACAGCAAACATTAGGCAGGCCTAGGGGAGTCTTGCAGAGGAATGTGGGAAGAATAGAACGTCCCAGAGAGGGAGACAAGAACCCCTCAAGAAAACCAACAGTGTCAACTAACCTAGGCCCGGAGGGGCTTACAGATACTGGAACACCAACCAAAGAGCAATAATGGACTGGGCCTAGGCCCACAACACATATGTAACTGATAAGCAGTTTGGTCCTCTTGTGGGTCTCCTAGCAACAAGGAAAGCATGCATGGGTTATATCTGCCATAGACTAGGTTGCCTGCTTTTGGATCTCTTTTCCCTACCTGGGCTGCTTTGTTGGGTCTCAATAGAAGATGTATTAAGTCATGATAAGACTTGATGGGCTTGGGTGGGTTTGTAACTGGAAGCTCCCCTTTTCTGAGGGGGTGAGGGAAAGGGAGAAGAGTAGAGGACAGTTAAGAGAGGAGAGAGGGGTGTTAGGACTAAATAAAACAATGATGGATGGAGATGGACAGAGAGAGGGAAAGAGAGAGAGAGACATGATAGGGGGACAACGGGGCGTCCTGATGGAGAAAGTGGGGAGAGGGAGAGAGCAAGAGCATAAGAGGTAAGAGGCAGGGATCTATTTATAGCTCTTGTGCAGCTGAACTGTGCCTGCCAGGTGGGTCTACCTGGCAGGCTACACATGATGACATCACATGTTACTAGGCAACATAGAAGCAGGCTGCTAAATGCTAACATAAAGAGTCTAGAGAAAGATTCTTAAACAATTTATAAAGCAAAGAATAAACACTGATTTTATTTCTGGCTCAATGAAATAAAAAGAATGATATAACATTTTCAAGATAGCAAAAAATAGGCTTCATCACATCCTATTCCTGAAGAATCCAACTCTGAGTAGAGTTTTGTACAATATTTTGCATCAAAAATTACCTTTAATGCTTTTAACCATGTCATTTCTGTTTGGGGGGTTTATTTCAATGATACAGACAGAAATTTGGATGTGTTTGTGTGAGAACATTTTTAGTCCAAAAAAAAAAAATTAAGCCAATAAATTTGTAAATAATGTAACTCTGTAAGGTATATCTTCACAAACCAGTTAAAAGGAATGCTAAGCAGCCACTAGGCATAGAAATCATGCATGATAGAAACAGACAGTGGAACTGAGTCTCCTTTATCTCATCCCATCGCTAGCCACGTGACAGCATGTAACGGACTCTTCCTTTCTTTCGCAGCTCCGCTGCAGAGAAGATCTGCTTTGTGAGTAAATTATGATGCCTAGTCCATAAGTGTAAGTGGTCCCCCAAAAGCTAGTATCCACGTGCTCTTAGGTGTCATCCTCTTTCATTCGCTCAGTACAGATGTGTGACTATAACATTTCAGAAGATGAAATAAAAGTTTTGAAGACTCAGAAGGAAGAAGCTAGTCTATATTTTTCATGAAAAATTTCACATCTCAGGTTTCTTCAAAAAAAAATAATAATAACCTATCAGAAATTATCCAGATATATGATACTCTATAAAACGTCTAAACTGAAAAGTTTTCCACATTTAAAAATCCAGGGAGCTTGGTATTCTCTTCCTCTCACCCACAGCAATACCTGACTGGAACTGTGTAAAAAAAAAAAAAAAAAAAAAAAAAAATCTTAGTTAAAAATAATGACAAAATATAATAGCCTAGGTATTTTTCTTAAAAAATTTAAAGTTTATAAAAATATAAATACAAAGATCCTGATGAAAATAAAAAGGGGCAAGTAACAACCAATCAGTAGAGCACAGTCTTGAACACAATTGAACCCATCAGGTCTTCTTACCCACTGTAAGAAAACCTGCAAGATTATGATGAAAATTACTAAAAAAAAAAAAAAAAAAAAAAAAGTACAGAAATAAGACTAACTAAGGAAAGCATGAACAACACATGAAACTAGAGTCTCAGTCACTCACAGCATGGCATGACTTTCACCACTGAGAGGCAAGCCAATACATGTAATGGTAACAACTTATAGATTAAACAATTGTTCAAATGCCAGCTAACTCGGGAGAGACCTGCCACGCACTCGTTAACCTGTGGAGTCTGGTGTTAATGTAAACATTCAACACCTGGAACCTGGTGTCAGTGGTGCCAAGTGATTAATTAATAGTGCTACAGTGAATTTCACAAGTTCTCAGTACTATTAAGTGTGTATAAGTCTTAAAAGGAATCATTTTCTAACTATTGGCAACTATCCTGTATTAGTAAGATACATAGGGTTTCTCACCTAATTTTGGTATTAATTTATACAGGCCCATGGAAATATTTGTATTGATTTTAGGTATATATGCTAAAAAAATTAGCTTCATATGGATAAAAGTAAAGTCATAAAAATATCACTATCACAAGGTGTGTGTGCCTATTTATGATACTCTGCTAAACTTGCAGACAGGAGCCTATCAGAGTTGTCTTCTCAGAGGCTCCACTTAACAATGGTTCTAAACAGACGCTGAGACTCACAGCCAAACTTTGGATGAAGCATAGACAGTCTAGAGGAAAAGTGAGGGGAAAGACAAAAGGACCTAGAGGTGACAAGAGCTCCACAAGACCAACAGAGCCAACTAACCAGGGCCCAGAGGGGCCTCTGGAGTCTGAAGCACCAACCAAGGACCATGCGTGGACTGGACCTAGGTCCTCTCCATATATGTTGCCAATGGCCAGCTCAGGTTTCATGCAGGTTCACTAGTATGTCTGTTGCCTCCTTTTTGATCACTTCCCTGTAACAGAACTGCCTTTCCAGGCCACAGGGGAAGAGTGTGAACTCAGTCCTCATAGGACTGGATAAGCTGGGGTGGGTTTGTGAGGAGGGTTCTGTTTTCTGAGAAGTACAGGAGAGATATGAGAGGGAAGGTAGAACTGGGAAGAGAGGAGGGAGGAATATACGACTGGGATGTAAAGTGAATAAATAAATTAATTTAAAATGATAACTCACTAAATAAAAAATTTAAAAGCTGTGTACGAATTAAATAATAAACACAACTTTGAAAGTAAGGTCAGAGGCAGTAATGGGGCATGCATGCCTCACAGATGCCATGAAAATCAAAACTGTAGGAAACATCGCATTGCCATTATTAAAGGTTATAACAAACAATAACAGACAAAATTAAATATAAGTAGAGATTTTTAAAAATGGATTTTTTTCCAAAAACTTTGGCAGTGATCATTTCTTTGTTATTTTTAAAAATATGACTTTTATATTTGTTTTGAAATGAGCATGATGTAATCTTACATAATGAGCAAACTGCACAGCTTCTCAGGATTCATTTGTTCATATGTCCACTTATGATTATATTTTTAATCCTGATATTTGTGGAAAGTAAATAGAAAAACAGTTTGGTTCAAAATATCTCTATGGGAAATGGATCTCTTAACAATTTTTTTGTTATAATTCTTTCTTTTTTCTTGAAAAGTTAGAAAGGAGTATGCATAGACCTTCACAGTACCAAATTTAAGATATAACTAGAAAGGTCTCTGAAGTTAGACATCTATCTACAGGAAGGATGTGGACTGCATGTGTGCCGAGGGGGACAGGGTGAGCGGACCCTGCCTCTTCAGCACAGTTGTAGCAAGGCCTCCTCAGTTTACACCGTGGCTCAGGCTGTGCTTATCACAGCACAGTGTGTGTAGTTCAGCAAAAGGACTTCTTCCCAAGAGAAAACTCCTGTGCATGGTACTTCCAATTACAAAATGTTATACATGCATCAAATCCAAATATTTTCCCCTCACTGATTAAGTTCCAGAAAGAAAACTCTAACTCTCAGTAGGTTTTCACTTGGTTATCAGAGGACTAACCATTTCTTAGATCAATTTTTAGACTACAATGAAAGCCAATAAAAGCAAAATTTTCCCCAGCTCCCTTAAGAAATAGCCCCAATAACAAGAAGCTGGCATGTCAACATAGTTCTCTATTTTCTGTACTGAACGTAAATGTGTTCCCAAATCCCCTCTGCACATACACTCACCTGCACGTGTGTTGCCTGTGTTAATTCCCAGGGAAAAGGTAGAAATACCGTGTCATGGATACTCTCTCGATGGTGGGCATTTGGGTGAGTTCCCCTGGGACTTCAAATGAGTGTTGAACCTGCAGCAGCAAAGAAAGTCCTCAGAGGTCTTTTAGGAGAATTTATTTTGTTGCTCTACACAATGACAACAAAAGTCACGGTGTACGTTAAGGCTGTGGCTGGGTTGTTTAACAGTGTTTAGCTATTTTCTTGGATATAGTGCAGAAAGAATGACTTATGAAGTTAGTAGCTTATGAAAAGTGACTAAGCATAAGCAAGGGTGTGCCAACCAGAGGGTTCTGGAAAAACATACTGCTCATATGTAGTATTCTAAAAAAGTTTCTTTAAATAAATTGATGTGGTAAGTATCCTCAGGATGAAAACATTTATGGCCCTTGGCATATGCCTCTTTACAGTTTTTAAGGACATAAATGATTAAAACCAAACCCCTACCTTTCGAAAAATTTCCTCTAAATGATAACACCAAGAGTACTTTTTGAAGCAGTCGATGAGTTTGGAAATGAAGAGAGACCCACTCTTGCTTACTTTCCAAGAAATATTATCTGTGAATAAAGGCATGGGAATGATGATGAAGAATGAAGTGTGGAAGACTCTTGACACCATGGTTTAGGACCCAAGTATGACTGGATGCTTTACAGAAGATAGGAGGCCAAAGCTGAGGAAAGCGGAGATCTTGAGGTTCCATAAAAGACACATAGAAAACCTGTACAAACCCTGGGTCATAAAACCACATGCACTTTTTAATAGGCAAAGCCAAAGTTACAGCCTGCAGCACACAAGCCCTGTGAAAGAGCAGGGTCCTTCCAGCACCAACTTAATGTTAGGGAAAAACAACCAACTCTGACCAGTCCTTGCTTCTGTGCTTCTTTATCCTGTGTGTTTCCAGCTGTATCTTTTTGCGTCTTTTTCCTATTGAGTAATGCTCTTTAAGAAGACCATTTCTCGGCCATTTGAACTAAGCTTTTGCTGTTAAAGCACCGAGTAACAGTTCTCTAACTGCCATTTAACCAGCATCTTACTGCCAATTTTTCTTTTATTGTACTCAGACCTTTTCTTCCTTGATAGCTCCTTTCCACAAGATTCTGCTCACTCCTCTCTGGCTGTCCCTTGCCACCCAAAAATTTCAAAGCCCCGAATCAGTCTCAGTTATTAGCCTCACCTGTACCTGGTCTGCCATTAACGTTAGAACTTATCAGCTCTGCCAACCGCATGGATAACTCGGCAGTCCTTTCCTTCATTTTTCCTTCCTCTGATCTGATGAGTCAGGCACAATAGCTAGCCCTTCCATCCGTAGTCTTAATCTCTAAGAGTTTTTTTTTTTTTCATCCTAACTCCAAGTATTTTTCTCACATTATTCTCAATTTCCTGTTGTTGTTGTTTATAATCTATGTTTAACATTGCCAAATATTGTTTCGACAACTGACAAGTTCTGAACTCAGTTTTTAAGGCAGATATATTCTGGGAAATACACAATTGCTCAACTCTTTATTAATCGTTTTACCTTTATTAATCATTTACCTATGTCACGGCCATCTCAAACTTTCTTGCAAAATCTCTTCTCTCTTTCACTTTAAAACAGTCACATTTGTTAACATTTTAACTTATAAAATATCATAGAATATTTATAGTAGATCCCTCCACATAGGTTTGTGAGAAATAGAATTTTAACATGGTACGAAACAAGATAGTACAGTATTTGGGGAAAATAAAATATCCTAATTAAATAACTTCACTGTAAACATCTTCTTGGATAGTGTATCACCTCCATATTTCCCATCTCTTCCCAAGCGATCAATTAACCAGTGATTATATTAATTTCATGTACTAATTGCTGGAACCGATGACTTGCCTCACTCCACATTGTCACTATCACCTCTGTGTCTCAGTGCTGAAAAAGCAGTCTGACCTGCTTCTCGGCATCCCATTGAGAGTCAAATCTGCATTATGTCATTGTTTAAATTTCCCCAAAGTTATTACCATAAAAGGTCATGTAAGATCCTCCCTTATCTGGCCCCTGCCTCTCCCATGAGTCTGTGCTTACACAGCTTTGTCTTTTCTTCTAAGCTTTTCTATTTCTCAGGCCCTCTGTACACTCTGTTTATATCATGTGGAACATGCCCCCTTGATGTGGATAACCTCTTTATCCTGTGAGCCAAATATTCCTCTATAGTATTTAATGCAAGTGACTATTCTGTTACAATGTGCCGTGTTTTCCTTCCGGTAAATGTCTGCCTCACAAACCTGTGAATTAGCTCAGAGAAGTGAGGCTCCACATCTGCTTTCATTGTGGAACACGTATTTTCCACTAGCCCAATTCTAGCATAATATTTTGCAGACACAATTCAAATGAAATAGTTTTTGTGTACTGTGCTTCATTTCTACCATTTCCACGAGTAAACACTTTTTCAGTGTTCTTAACAGATCAAGTATACTTTTGAGTTTCTTTTGTCTGTTAAAAGTATAGAATTTTCCTTTTAAATAAAATCTCATTAAAATTGCAAAACATAAATAAGTACATGCGTGCCTTATCTAGGTGTGGATGGCCACTGTTTGTGCAGTCTTCATTCTCTGCTCTGTACCTGGAGAGTCCTCTCATCTCTTAGCTCAAATACGAGCAGAAGCTACATCACCATGTTTTATTGGAACAGGTCGCATGTCAGGGACACTGCAGGCACACAGAATGAGAACTCTGCACATTAGCATCTCCAAGTGATTCCTACACTCCTTAGACCTCCTAGTCACAGAATATGAAAGCAAGGAATCATGATTTGTGCAAACTGGTCTCAAGTTGCCTTGCTCTCTAAATCCTTGATGGAGTCTTGTCGCAGATGGGTATTTAGAAGGACATTTGGCTGCATTGACAGCTACTGGGAATGTTCTGTTTCTGGGCGGTAAGTCAGCTTCATGTAGTCACCTGTATGACTCAGGGAGCTCATTGATCATTTGTTGGCTACATTAATGTGAAGTCAGACATTTCAGTGTTACCTAATTTTCAAAAATTAAATAAAAATAATATGCCAAGAGTTACTGTAGTGTGTGCTGTGAGCCCAATATATTTTCTGGCTGATTTTTAGAAAATCACAGGGAAGGTTATGCATCAATATGTCAGTAATATATTTTAAAAACAAATCAAAGTGAAATATCATTAATTTTTATAGTAAAAACATTTGAATTGATATCTTTGCATTGATAATTTCTGAACAAATCTAGTTATGAAAACCCAAATACTTGAAATATCTCCATCACTAAAAACATCCAATTAGACATAAAATGTTCACTAAAAGTATATTATCTAAGTGTAGCATGTTGCATAAACATATTCAGTACAAATGAAGTCACTTACGAGGGGTAGAAGACTTAAAAGCAATAAAATCCTTTTCCACATGGGCCTTTGTTATGCTCTTATTCCATTTATAGTTTAGCTTGCGCTCATCATTTGTATCAGCAGTGGCTATTCCTTTGCTTGTGGATACCCAAATAATTCCATCTTGACCTAGGAGAGATGGCATGTTTTAAACAAATTTAACACACATTCACACACACACCTACACATTCCATAGAGGTAAAGTATATCTGTTGCCATTATATTCTCATTTGGTACATTGCATTATGATTTTATTGAAAATTCAAATATCTATGTGTATATGTTGTATGTGTAGCATGTACATATGCGAGTGCAAGGCATCCATATCCTTGTGCAAACTCAGAGGCCAAACAAAATGTGTCAACTGTTTCACTCTACCACTCCTCAGCTTATTCTCGTGACAGGGTTTCTCACCGTACCTGGAGCTAATCAGGTAGCTAGCATCAGGAACTGGCCTGTCTCTACCTTCTATGGTCCTGGGGTTACGTGAATACATGCTATGCCTGGATTTTCACACAGGTTGTTGGGATTAGTTCTTATACAATGAGCACTGTTCCTCACAGATCCATCTCTCTGGTCCTAAAAGCAGATTATTTAGAGAGACTGCCACTGACCAAGAACAATACAATACACACCATGTTGACAAATGACTGGGACATTTCCCTTTCTTTCTTTCTTTCTTTCTTTCTTTCTTTCTTTCTTTCTTTCTTTCTTTCTTTCCTTTCTTTCGACAAGCTTTCTCTGTATAGCCTTGGCTCTCCTTGACATGCTTTGTAGACCAGGCTGACCTCAAACACACAGAGATCTACCTGCCTCTGTCTCCCTGAGTGTAGGGATTGTAGGAGTGCACCACTGTGCCTGGCTGGAACATTTCTTACTATTCCAGGCTACTTACTGTCTGTTTAAAACATAGGAAATAGATAGTTTCTTTTGGACTGGACACATGGATAATACATAAGTGTTCCCCCCATTTATCTTCTGGAGCATGAAATGCACATGCCAGACTCATAGAAGAAAGTTCAGCTGACTCAGACTCACTGCCTCTGCAGGCCTGCATGATGAGGACCTTGGGTTTGTTTCTCAGATTCCTACAGTTGGAGTTGTTGAAAATTGTGAAGATGGTGTCGTCATGAAGAACATCTGGCTTTCTGTTTCTGTGCTTCACCCCACAGATTCCTTCCAGGATGCCATGGGACATAAACACCAGGAACGTGCTATCAGAGGACTGGTGCTCTGGACGGCCAGCAAACTCGATTAGTTCAGTCTTCATTTCCTGAAAAGACTCTAGAATCACTCTCAGTGTATTCTCCAAATAAAGTTTGCATCTGAGTAACATAGGAAGTTCACAAAACAGATAAATAACATCTAGAGTCAAGTGATTTTGGCAGAGGATAGTTGTAAGAAAAAAAGAGGTTTTACCTCTGGTCAGAAAAAGTATATTCATAAAATATGAACATTAGTGGGATTTTGAATAGTTTCTAACCCTACGGTTTTATGAAGAATCTTGGATCTATAAAGACTCTGAGATAAATAACACAATTATGTTTTGGGAAATTCTCATTAAAAAATAGGCAGACAAGTTTATGTTGATAAAATTTAAAAATATGAAATTTCTTGATATCAAGTTTTATATTCTTTAATTGCTTTAGACAGAACTGAGATTTGTATAATTCTCAATAATTAGACATTTTGTTCTGACATTGTTAAAGCCTCATATGCTTATTCTCTGGGTCATGTAATTTCAAGGCCCAGAGCTTACAACATCAGGGAATATAGACACCTAGACTAGCACTTTAAAAAGACCACCTGTTTTGTCAAAATAATGTTGCAAAGTATTCTTTGAATACTTTCTATGAGAGGACAATTTGGAGAAGGTAGAAACCCAGGAAATCCTATTCTGAAGCAAATATATTTCCTATACTGTGACATGAAATTTGTTCTTGTTGCTACCAAAAGTAGCACAGGCAAGGTTGCCCTGATCTTTGGGGTCATTACCTGAGCTGTAAGGTTTTCCTTTAATACAACTGAGTATCCAAGGTTATGAAGTAGTTCTTGCATATTCAAAATGTCTACCTCGGCATCATCTCTATCAAAAAGGTAGTCAAACTTTTTGTTGCAGATGATGAGGGCCAGACGTGTTCGGCCTTCCTTCTCCATCACTGGATATATCTGCAATTAACGGACCCAGAGTGATTAGATGAGGGACCCTCGTCATGCCTCCAAAAACATACAACAAACAAAAACAGTTGCAAGAATGTTGCTGATGGAGTTATGCTCTTCTGAGGAAATGATAGGACTTGACTCAGGTACTGTGCCTGAGTCTGACTACTGATGTGACTTGGATTATGTGGTAGAGTGGACTTGAGGACATGTCTGAGATGAGATTAGAAAAATGGGAAAACTAAGATGAGTGTCACTTGATTAGACAAAGTTCAACGTCCATTGTCTTATGTGAAGGAATATGTCCGCAGAGTCTGAACGGGTTAAGTCCAATCCCCTGGATCCAAAGCTGATCACCTCTTTTGACTTTTCTATCTTCATCTTACAAAACTGGTCATGAGGACAAAGCTTCAATGTGTCACGGGCTTCTGTGCTCAAAATTTCCTGAGGAGCTAAAAGAGAAAACAGAACCAAAAATCTGAAATGGCTTATAGTCATGCACATATGAGGTTCCTATGTTCCATTGGTCTGGTGCTCAAGGCTGTTCCTCAGGAAACTAATAAAAGGAGAAGAAGACCTCCTATATAAAAGGACTGATGCTAAAGTTCTTTTGTTGTGCTTGTAGTCACTCTTTTTTATTTCTGTTTATCACTGAACCTGTCAAATTTTGTACTTTTTTAGTGTTTACACATTGGCTAGTCTTTTACAAACAACAACAAAAAATTATTAGAATCACATAAATTCAGGATTCTAAACTTTGTAAGGACGTTAAGTTTCACTTAATTTAATTGAACTAGTAATTGATATTTTATTTTCTACTCTTGTATTACGTTTCAGGCCATTCCAGTGACAGGAAGCCTATGTCAGTTTAAGGAGTTCTTTACTGTTCTAAGTGTTATAAAATATGCACCCTGATATCTGGACCACCTCTCCCCACAAAGTTCTCATGAACTATTTTCTGTTTACTGATTGTAAACTTAAAACAGGAAGAAGCCTCTAATCTTTGTATTTCCAGCATGTAGCCTGGCAGTAGAAAAAAAACACTTCACTACTAATGACTGAATATTTTCAATTTGCTGAAAATATTTGTTTTTATTTCTTTGATTTTCCAAGGGGCAGTGAACCTCTTGGTTTTAATGAACAACAAATCATTCGTTTACCTGTGCCTATCTATTTCTGTGTTTTCTCTTAATCCAAAAGAAAAGATACATACTTTGTAAGGACACTGCTTCCCTTTCTGTGTTTGATTCCACACCTCACTCACCTACAAGAATTTTCCTGGGATACTTACTGAGCATTTTGAGCTTCTCTCTTCCTCTTTAACTTCCCTCTCTCTTGCTCTTCCATAGTATATTTGATTCTATCAACAAATGTTAATTTTTACGCAGAAAAGCATATAAAAAGGGAAAGTATGAAAGGGAAAGTTGAAAGTATGAAGGGAAGTGACTACACACAAACATGGTAACACAGAACAGAACGATATATACAAAGACATCAAAAAGAATGCAGCATAAATGACAGATACGAAAGGGAAACGGGGTGTTAATGTGAAGTGGAGTGGAAGGGAAGAAAAGGGAAGAAAGGACAAATGGAAGATGAGAAGTGGGAGACTGAAAGTTCTCTCTGGAATCACCTTTTTTTCCCCTTTTTTTCTTTTTCTTTTTTACATTTTAGCAAAAAGGGAGAATCACATTCTTAGTCAAAAAATCTATTTTTTTATATTTCTCATTGTCTGTTTTGATGATTTATGATATGCAAGCTGAGATGAAACAAACAGCTTACTCACAAAGCATTGCTTACTATTCTTACATGGTTGGAGGACATTTCAGTGGCGGGTGTTAACTTCGGGATGATGGAGCTGATCCATGGGTCTATATTTTACTGAATTTTTATGGAATGACAACTCTTAATGAAGGCAGTTTTGTGAGACACACACGAACACACACACACACCCACACCCACACACACACACACACACACACCTACCACAGTAGACTCCTTTTCCACTGAGAAGAGGATCTAGGCAGTCCGTCTCTGACTCTGAACTTAACACCTTCACTTATTTTACTCCTGGTTTCCTACTTCAGAGTGAGAGTATAGCCTTCCATATGGACCTGTGCCATGTCAAGATCATTCCTGTATCAGGTCTTTTACCCTGAACTGTTTTGCTCAACATTTTCACACAATAACCTTTGCAACTTTAAGGTGTATTCTAGCATATCTCCTCGTTGGGGTTGGCCTTAGCTAAGCATCTGAGCATATACCTTTCCTTGGCTATTCTCAGCCCTCAACCCATCCTTAACATGCAATTGTTTTCTTTAGTCTAATTCTTTTTTTATATGTTAAATGAATTTACACTACTTCCTATATATTTATCATATATCACCACTCACTAAATTATAAACTCAGTGGTAGGGGGAATCTTGATCTTGATCTGTTATTCTTACTGTTATACAAACCAAATATTGAGAACACAAGTGCATTTTTTTTTCATTTACTATAAGGCATATACATAAAAATGACAAAAGTTTTATTCTTTAGTTTGTCAGAACTTCTGAAAATATAACATTCACACAACACTATCACTCTCCTTTCCAGACAAATGGAATTCCTTAATAAACCCCAGAGTTCATCAGTTTCTTCGGTGAACACAAAGAATGTATAACTCATACCGTGTTAGGTATGTTTATATAATTATATATAAACTTTAAAACACATTATACATATGTGCTTAACCACATCTTACTTGTGCTGGTACTTTCTGAAACCTTTAGCGTTTTATAAATTTAAGATGTTGTTAACATCATTTAAAAACATGGGCTATGTCAACGCTAGTGATGGCTTTCCTGTATGACCTTTTTGGCTGTGACCCTAGCCCCATAACCCATAAAGGATTTTAAAATTTGCATTATCTCAAATAGCATCAGCATAGACCCTGGGATCAACATTACCTGTCAGCATAGGCTGTGATGCATGGGCCACGCCAGCATTTGCCTTCGTTTCTTCATCTTCCTCCCCCGCTCTGCATTCTGAAGAGAAGTGGAAAAGAAAGATCTGAGGGACTTTTTAGAGGTAGAGGTAGAGGTAGAAAACCCAGACTTCTGAGCCTCAGTGATGTGGTTCGCTACTGTAATTCAGAGAACCTATGACCCCACCCCCTTCCCCAGTTATAAGCAAGACCTATGAAATAGAGGTTTGGTGCAGTTACCTATCAGAGATAAAGCAGATGTCTGCTCTAATAAAGCTTGTCCATCATCTTTGTTGTCTTCAATTTCATTTTCAGAGTCTGGAGCGGATAAAGGAAGGGAGTATCAGAACTCTGTTCCAAAGATGTTTTCTTCTTTATTCATTTGCTTTTAAAGTTTTATGTGTTGATACTTTGCCTTTTGACCATGCCCATCCACCACTACTCTGAGACCGAAACAGGATAAATACACCTTACAAGTGAGACGTTAAGGGCTCTGTTTGCAGTAAAGATAGTTAACAAATAAGTTCAAGTCTGCCTGTGCAGGTTAAGGTTCCTGTTTGTAGTTAAAAAATAAGTTCCTCTTTGTCCAATGTTACATTCTTGCAAGTTAGTTTCTACTTGGAATTAAGAATAGTTTCCTATTTCTTAGCTCTGATGTAAATTACAAAACATATTTTCAACCTACACTTTAAGGCCACACTGACATGGTGCAAATCTTTACCCTTGTCCCTTCCCTTTCATTGTGTTTTTCTAACAATGTGTGATAGGCAGCTCTACAACACCTACAAACAATGTATCTCTCCTGAAAAAAAGGATCTCAAGAGGCCATCAGGGGCTTCTCTGTCAAATTCCTACATCTCGCTGCTCAGTCCTGGGTGTACCCAAAGACAGCCTAATTGAAACATTGTGAATTTAGTCTTTTCTCCTTGCAATTCTCAGGCTTAACACTACCTCCTCTAACTCCTGTTTGCTTCCCCGTTAATTACCCCTCTAGTGTCACGTCCTCCTTTTACTTTTTATATTGTGCTATTATTATTAATTTCTAAGTCCAAATAGTGCTGCCCATTTGCTCGTAAGTGTGTGGCCATTCACTGTATCTGAGCAACCAGTGGCCATGTCACCAGTGTCCAGTGACTCCCTTTCCTTCAGAAATTATATAAAGATTTTCTTCTCTGGAATTAAGCCACATCTAAGAGAAGAGAGTGAACTTCTCCTCCCCTTCAGTTCGACATTCTATGTATTCATTTCAAAGAATGAAAATGTGTAAGACCGCAGTTCCCTAAGTTGTTACCAGGACATGAAAGTAGAGATCAAACGGTTTCTGTGGCAGACTGAGGCATGGGGCTAGTTACCTAATGGAGAAGGCAGTATAGTCAGTTTCTGAGGTTCATCGTCTTCATCATCAGAATGAAATTCTGAAACAATATGAACAGCAGATATCAGAGGAAATCTAAATACGTATCTAAGGTCACATACATGGAAACCTAGCACAACACTGGTCAGTAAATGATCATGCTGCTCTTTGAACCATGGATGCTCAATCTGTTCTCCGAGCTTCAAGCTTGTTTATTAGCATGCTGGCCTCTTCCAAATGAACAAATGGAGGCACAGATTCTATGAAGCAAGGACTTATCTCTATCACGATCATTATATAAGTAAACACGTAGCCAAAATCTGTAACCAGAGATTCTCTTTATCATTTATTTTTTTCTGACAAAAAGATGCTTGACTGTATTCAACAAAAATAACACAGAAGAAAATGTCAAGAATTTGAGAGATATATTTTCCATAGCACTTGCTGGGGTAGGATCTGTGGGCCTGCAGACTAAGCACCACTGGCCACCTTGTGATAAATATTTAGTGGAACACATAAACACCCACTGCTCCTCTGTAATTGATGCTGTCCTGCCAAAAGAGAAAATCTGAGACATGACGGAGACAACCACAGGCACAAAATCTATAATGCTTACAGTTTTTAGGGACAAATTAATATTCCCTAAACCTCAAATTCTGGTTCTTTTTTCCTTATTGGTTTGTTTTGCTTTTCCCAGTAAAAATTAAAGCAAAGATTTTTTTTCTCTGGAATTAAGCAACATCTAAGAGAAGAGAGCGACTTCTTCCTCCCCCATTCAACATTCTATATCTGAGAATGAGTCTAAAATCTGTATTATGTGATCAGAAGCTTAGACCACTAAAAACCCTATTTCGGAAGTCATCATGACTGAATATTTTCTGAGCATCCGCCATCTGCCAGATGTCATTTCTTGCATGACCAATATGCACTCATAAATAAAGCAGCCAAAAAGGTCTGCCTTATAAAGACTGTATTTTAGCAGAGCAAAACGCAATAATGAAATGAATATGTAAATTCCATTGGGCAGTTATGGTGCAATTGCCAAAGGAGAAAATAAAATATTTAAGAATAGAAAAGTAGTTGTGGTGAATCTGGGGTTTTTAATCCGTTAAGCAAATAGACAAGCGACAGCCAGAGGGTTAGACTTCACTGAAAACAGAAGTAAAGACAGAAGCCTCGTGGACAGTAGAAAAGGAAGGAGCTGATGGCATTTTGGCCAGAGCTACTCACTTAATCTCAGCTGTTTCTTGGAATTGACAAAGTGGCCTGCAAGTATTTTGCCTGCCATTTCTGTTTTCTCAAAGATGTTCTCAACGAGGTTCTCAGCATTGTTAAGGATGAAGCTTGCACCTTCTCCTATTCTGAGTATTTCATCTCTGTTTAAAACATTCTTTTCCACCAAGTCATCAAAAACCCCATCCAGCATGTCCTTGGCCAAACCCTTGATCTTGTAGATTGGATCTCTTTCATGTATTCTCTTGGCTGTCAAAATAATAACATTTAGACACGAAAAAAAAAGTTTAGATATGTTTATACACTACCAGCTTTTAAATTCATATAAAAATCACCTGCTCGGCTAAATAAACAGGACTTCCTGAATGGCATTCTTGAAATTTCTGCTTCATACATCAGGATGGGATCCATGGGTTTTCTTGTTGTTTTTCTATTCTTTTTTAAAATTATTTCTTTCATTTTTTGAGATTATAATATAATTAATCAGGTGATGCCTGAGTGACAGTTTCTCCAAGAACCGGGTAAGAATTTATCTTGTTCAACCCTCTCCAAGTTTATACAGGAGGAAGTGGAGGTTGAGAGAAGAAAAACACTCCATGAAGCAATTTAGCAATAAATATCTGATGTTTTGATGTATCGTTCATGACCCTTCCAAGTTTGCTCATTTTTTCGTAAATAAAATGAAAAGACATTTTAGTTCATATATGGCATAGTGAACTATGAACAAATTAGAGCTATGTGGTGGTTATATTGCCAGGACTCCTAGATGCCTCAGTGTGGAGATGGAGAAGTCGAACTAGCTGGTTTTCTCGCTGCTGAAAGTAGTTCAGATACAGAGCAGAAAGTTGGAGGAAAGACAAGTTTTTGTTGAATAGTCTCGTTTTCTCACCCTCACAATAAAACACCTCCACCGTGGGGGAACCTCAACTCAGTGAGTCAAAAAGCATGCTTCAAACTACAGAAAAAATATTAATACGTTGGGTCTAGATAAGTTACATTTCCCTCACTTTTCAGCAGTTGTAAAGCACTAAGCTGGAGGATTGGTGTTTGCGCTCCCGCTTCTACCGGTGCTGTTAAAGCCTGTCCACTCAGACTTCCATAGCTCTGTTCTGATGGAGCCCCTCCACATCGTTATCTGTTCTCTCAGAAATCCGTCCAGAACTCCCTCAGCACAACCATAAACAAAGAAAAGGCTCACTTACCCGCCATGGCTGTGCAGGCTCTCTGGACATAAGAAATAACAAAAGTGAAAGCGATCTCGGAAATGGTCTGCCTTTCCTTTCCAGAAACATACCGATGGTGCTGACTCACCGGGAAACTCCAGCTTTACAATTTCCCTTGTCTTTGCCCAGAGAGCCAACCAGGGATTCCTCTGATAAGCAACATTTCTCCTTGACGCAATGAAGTTTTCTGACTGAAAGTGTATAGTCACACAAAAATTCATTCTGGGTCCTGCCTGTTTTTAGCACAGTTTAGAAATGCATTGTGACTTCTTTTTTTCCCAGCACCTCCCTGAGCTCTCACCTAGATGGGAGACCATACCACAGAGCCACCTACTTCACTCAGAATGTGTCGGTCTGCTAGGCTTCAGGGGACAGAGATGCTGACAGAGAAGCCAATTCAAAACCCTGGTAAGTAACCTTGTTTCCACGTCTCTGGGTCAGCGTGTTTATCTGTCAGTTTCAGAGATCACTTATCTGGAGATGCCAGTGCACATTTTAGGTTGGCTAAGTGGGCAAGAGACTCTTTCCTTCTAACTTTTCAAATTCTATGGATAAGTGATGGTAGTAAAAGTTAAATAAGAAAATGTTTATCTAAAAATGAATGCTATACTGCTGCTTTATGTTCACGGCTCAAGACAGGACATGTTAGCTGCTTTCCTTGTGAATTATTTCCTAATCCTTGTAAAATACTTAACACAGTTCTAATGCTGTTGACTTTTTACATTAGCCTTCCATCGGTAGCTGTCTTTCCCTTACTTACCGCAGGAGTTAATTGGTGTGACTAACATACCAACTTCAAATAACTTCTGTGCAGTTCCAGGCTCTGCCTTCACAAAGCTTTCGTACTTTTTCCAGCTTGGGTACTTGAACATCCATGAAGATATTCTGGTAAATTCTAGGAGAAGATAAAGCAGAAGATGGACACGCAGCTGGACCTCTCCTTTTCTCCTTTTTAACCACCTCGGGTCTTTGTGCAAGGCCCAGAAAGCACATCCAGGCCAGCTCTCTCCCAGTTGCATAGTCAGTCCTCTCCAGAAACTCCCTCACAATCATTCCTGCCTCAGTGACAGAAAAAAGCCTCTCTTAATACAAAAAAAAAAAAAAAAAAAAAAAGGTGCCACAGGGCCAGTGTCAAATAGTTGAATTAGAAATCAATCAACTTGCTACTTGAAAACATCATAATGAATGGCATACGATCTGATAAGTTGAGAACTATCAAGTGTGGTAGATTATAACTTTAAAATGTTTGCCGAATAATGCAGCCACAGTTCAATGAATAGCACAGTGCAGAAAAGCTTAGAGTGAAAATCAGAACTCTCAATTTGCCTCACTCCTGTATTCTAGATACAACTTCCATAATATTATTTCTATTTTTTTGAATAGTAGTAATCATTTCTTAAATTATTTTGTTTGAAGGTAGCACGCCGTATGAATTCTAGCTATTCTCACCGTATTCACCACTCTTATCCTCTGTATTTCTTGCTGAAGCTTTTCTTAACAAGTCCCCTCTGACACATGCCCATTCCCTGAGACTCCCAAGTGTTTTACTAATTTCTTTCCGAATCATGGTAGGAAGGTTATTTAACGGAGCTTGAGAAGCTTAGCAATGAAGAAACTGACAATACTGCTTCAAACAACCCTCAGCTGCAAGTTGTACTTCAGGGAGGGTTTCTCCTCTACATATCCTGAAATGTTGATGATTCCACCAGGACCCTGTCATGTAAGATAGCCATGGCCACTGCGAATTTGTGAGAGATAGCCCACGGCCACAGTGAATTTCTGTAAAGTACCCACAGTGAGTTCATATGAGAGAGCCAGCTGCACAGAGCTCTTGAGCACAGCAGCTTTTTTATAGCCAGAAAACATCACTTTGCTGCACATCTTTCAAATACTTGTGGATGTCTATCTTATGTATTTTTTGTCATTGACTACTTCATATAAAAACGAACTATAGCTAGCTTAAACTCCCTCCTCTCCCTCTTATTCCTTGATCTTCAATTTTTTTTCACCAAGTATCATGAATTAATTTTTGAGACAAATTCCTGGTTTCAAACACGTGATCTTCTTGCCCCAAGCTCATGAGTGCTGAGACTGCAGGACTGACCTGAAAACACAGTTATTTCTTCAGTGTTAAGTGGTTTCACTTTCTTTTGTGTTCTTTTGAAATCCATTCTCCATTTTCACTCTAATCATACTTCATTTTGATATTCATTTATTAAGTTTTTCCAACTTGTAAATGAGACTACCTTGAACTACCAGCTTGAACACCTTTCAGTCTGCTCTGGAGAATTACACACATTCATGAGACTACTCTGCTCTCATGAGCATTAATTGTCAGAAATTATGTTTTCATTTTAAAACCTAAAACACTATACCAATCAAACAATTACTGTCTGCTGTGGTGTGAGCCTGTCCTGTAAATTGTCATGTGCTGGAATCGTTTTTACACTGTGCTGAGTTTTACAAAGACAAGTTATTATAAGATAAGGACCGCAGTTAGAAAGTCAGCCCCTGCTGTTGCTGGTGCTGGTCCCACGTTGGAAAACATCCAGCATGCCTCAGTGCTTGATCCATTGTGTCCAGTTTTCCCTTTATGTTGTGATATAGATAAGTTGTCTGCAAAGATGCTGCTTCATCTACATTTCTACCAGAACCACGAGGCAAATAAATCTCTTCGTTTTTAAAGACCACTGTCAAGTTTCAATCTTGTTATTGCAAATTAAAAAAATAAAATAAAATAAAAGAATATACTGCCTCTTCTCCCCTTTCTTAGCCTCTACCACCTTTCTGTCTGTCTCCCAATGAATCTGACTATTCTAAGTATACAGAGCAATCACACACTCTCTCATTGCACCTCAGTTACTTATGTGGTATCACGTCCATAGGAGCCTCCCATGTTGCAGTATGTGGCAGAATCCTTTTGGTTTTTACATCTGAATTGCATTCATATTTGCACATGTAACGGGATGGTACTTCATTATGCCTATCCATTCATTTTTTTTTTGTTGCCATGTTTTAAGTATTGAGAATATTACTGCCATGAATAAAAAAAATAATAAAGTATTTCTTTGATATGTCATTTCTAATTATGTTGTTTAAATGAATAGCCACCATATTGTGTGTCATATTGGCTGTAAAGCAACACCTTCCAGTGCACAGTGCAGCAGGATTTGATTGCAACACTTTCTTGCTAATACATGTTTTAATTTAGGGTTTTCTAGAATATTTGTGTGTGTGTATGTGTGTGTATACTGATAGGGGAGAACTGATAGGGGAGAACCTCCTCCCCTTTCATCTAATACTAGTTTATCAGGTATCTTCCGGACTGGCTGCAAAGTCCTCCTGTGTGGCCTAGCAGGACTGCTCCTCCCTCAGAGGGGGGGGGGGAAGGAGAGTGGGGAAGGAGGTCAAAGATCCACCATTGAGTTCATGTCAGAAACAGTCCCTGTTCTCCTTATTAGGATACCCATTTGGATACTGAGCTACCAAGGGCTACATCTGAACAGGGGTTCTAGGTTACATCCATACATGGTCCTTGGTTGGAGAAACAGTCTCATAAAAGACCCCTGTGCCCAGGTATATTTGGTCTTTGTGGAACTCCTGTCCTCTCCAGGTCATATTAACTCTCCCTCCCTTTATGTTTTTCTGCACTCTGCCGAAGGTTTGGTTATGAGTCTTAATAGCTACTTTGATACACTGCTAGGTAGAGTCTTTTAGAGGCCCTCTGTGGTAGGCTCTTGTCTTGTTACTTGTTTGGAGAAAGGGGAACCCTCTCCCATTGCTGGTGGGAATGCAAACTTATACAACCACTTTGAAAATCAATCTGACACTTTCTCTGACAATCAGGAATACTGCTTCCTCAAGATCCAGCTATACTACTCCTACGCATATATCCAAAAGAGGCTAAAGTATACAACAAAGACTTTTGCTCAGCCATGTTTATAGCAGCTTTATTTGTAATAGCCAAAACCTGGAAACAACCCAGATGTCCCTCCTTTAAGGAATGGATACAGAAATTGTGGTACTTTTACACAATGGAATACTACTCAGCAATTAAAAACAAGGAAATCATGAAATTTGCAGACAAACGGTAGGACCTGGAAATGATCATCCTGAGTGAGATATCCCAAAAGCAGAAAGACACACATGGTATATACTCACTTATATAGACCTAAAAGATAGGAAGGATAAACATACTAAAATTTATACATCTAAAGAAGATAAACAAGAAAGAGGACCCAGGGTACAATGATCAATCCTCACTTAGAAAGACAAATGGGATAGACATTGGATGTAAGATGACCTAATTTTAACTCCAGTCAAGATGAGTATTGACTGAGGTAAATTAAAAATCTCAGCAACATCTTTTTAAGATTTGAATCCCTGCTGAATCTCACAATCAGCAATATCTGACTTATTAAGTCTTTTTGCTTGCATTAATCAATCACATCCTACTTACCATGGATACACAAATACAGAATTGAGTAATTAAATTCTCCCAACCCAAACTATCTGAGGGCCAGATGGTTTTACCACAAAGTTTCATGACAGAACTGACCATAGGTAATTTTAGACACAACAGAGAGAGTGGGATTGAGAAATCACAGGTTAAAAGAAAGAGACAGAAAACTTAGGATAGTTTTGAGATGGCTATCAGTCAATACTGAAAAGCACCAAGCTTATTCCCCAGCCCCTTTTTAAAGACAAAGCAAAACAATTCACATCGGTACAAGGATGGGGTTCATGGAAAACTGTTAAACTTGTTTTCAAAGGCATCTACATTCCTGTAAGGCAGATGTGGTCAAAGGTCTCACAGATGACTTAAAGAAACTTGGCAAAACATTCTACCTATTTCTGTTTCAAGGTAAAGACTAGGGTGAAAACATGGTTTTGTTGTTTTTTGTATTTTGTTGTTTTCTGAATGCTCTGTAACAAAGCAGCTTGCCGGGCGAGCATCTGTCCACAGCTTGAGAAAGACCTTTTGCTTCCCACAATTCTGTAAGACTTTCAAAGAACAGTTAATGTGAATATTTGTCAAATTAGTCCACAA